TCTGGGTTCCATGCGTATTTTTTATTGGCTCAAAAAAATCTGAATTTAATAGATAGTTTTGAATGATTTCATTTCATATAAGGACTTTTGATTATGGTTAAACCATATTTCGGAAAACTTGACGCAGCTGCAAAGTGACTGAGCTTGTAGAAAACATGTTTCTAAGTCTTCCTTTTTGTAGAAAACATGTTTCTAAGTCTTCCTTTTTGTAGAAAACATGTTTCTAAGTCTTCCTTTTTGGTGTTAAAAGGAGTTAAAATGTAGTTAACATGAGCGTCCCTGCACATTTCCAGTGGACAACTCCACTGTCAGAAGAGGAGGAAGAGGAGGAAGAGGAGGAAGAGGTCAAAACCTGGCCCACATAAGATCAAAAAGTGCTTTTTTGTCTGTTTTTTTGTCTGCTTTTGTGGGTTTTTTTGTCAAATCTCACCAGCTGTTTGTCTGAAATGTGTTTATCCGTAAGAGAGGCCGGTCTGATGAAATGTGATCACTTTATCCTTAATGTTGTTCTTATCGATCTGAAAATGACTGCAGCTTGTTTTGATGAAGATTAATTATCCCTGAATGTAAATTCATTCCCATTTGAGCTTCTGTTACGCTGTCAAAAGCACTTTCTGATTGGATGTTCTCCACATGCTGAAAAACTGGACCCAGAGGCACATTTCTGTACTTTTAGAGGCCTAAAAGTTACACTTGTGTTAGTAAATGTAGTAAATGGACAAATACCTTTGAGGGTTCCACCTCAGGGATTGGTCTTCGGGCCCTAAAAGTACAACTGGGTGCTTGTTTTTCTGAGATTGTACACATATGTTATCATCTATTCTAGTTTAAGTTGTTTTTAAGTGCAATAACAGCCTTTATGTAGTCACTGTGATTTCAGTTATTGATGCTTTTCATAACAAGAAAGGTCATTAATTCTACTTTCTGAGTTTGTAACTTAGACTGAGCGATTTATGGTTGTTGTAAGCTTTTTCTGTACTTTTGGTCATGGTGTTGATTCAGCCGTAGTTGCTGCTAAACAGAGCGACTCAGATCCTGTTTGCTGTGGGATCTGGAGGCCTAAACAGGTCCGACGGGTTTGGCTGAGGTGTTGGATAAACAAACGTATAGGAATCCTCAACAGAGGCCTGATAACCGAGAGGGGATGTTCTCAGTATCTGGCTCGACATTTATCTGAGTAATGAGTCTTCTAGTGATCAGTGACTGGAAAGTCTGGTTTTTGGGGGGTTTGACCCTTTTCCGAAGTGACTCACAGGCTCGTAAAAGGCCAAAGCTAAGTTACAGTGAATAAAACCTCATTCCTCTTGGGGAGGAGAACCAAACAGTGGCCAAACAAGGCACGCTCATTTCCTCTTTGTGACTTCACAATAGGCCTCTTTATTGTGACGCACGTGGGATGGATTAGTAGTTATTTGATGGAAAACCTGACACAGTTGTAATAAAAGAAGGATAGATTTCTCTACCCGGGTTTGTTTGATCTGATAGGAGGCCCAACGAATCACTTTGGCTTCATTAGCCCACCGTATAGAAGCTAGGTCCTGATTAACTCATTGGCTGCCAAAGACGTCTATAGACGTCTTTGATGTTTTTCAACTAGAATGTCTGGGGGATGATCTGCTAAAGCTTGTCCGTAAATATCAGGCTTCTAGACAGAGTATGTAGTAACAAATTGACCCTCTAGGGGGCAGTGCCACTTTTGATGGGAGATGAGCATAGATTGTAGGCAAATAAGAAAAAGGTAACGTTTCGCTATGAGAGAACATGGCGCCGGTGAGACGCAAGTCCAGGAAGAACGAAATAAGGTAGAAAGAAATGTTGTTTTCCTGATGAAAGAAGAGAGTCTACTCTTTCTTTTGGTGTGTTCGGTGTTTACATAGTCATAGCACAAACCATTCTGTGGCTCTTGAAAAATCAGTCAAAATGCTCAAAAAAACTCTGGCAGTCAATGAGTTAATAGCGGTGATATAATCCGGTGTTTTTCAACCTTTTTTGACCCAAGGTACATTTTTTCATTGAAAAAATCACGAGGCACACCACCAACCAAAAATGTCAAACAAATCTGTAGCCGCCTATAGTAACACTATAGTTATTCCTATCTTATCTTAAGTGTCTTGAATAGGAATCAAATAAACACAGAAATGTATTTTTATCATATTTTATATTTCTTCTTTCAAATTGCACTTAACATGTCCACTTCAATATACAGGACTGTCTCAGAAAATTAGAATATGGTGATAAAGTTGTTTATTTTCTGTAATGCAATTAAAAAACATGAAATGTCATACATTCTGGATTCATTACAAATCAATTGAAATATCGCAAGCCTTTTATTGTAATCCGATATTCTAATATTTTGAGATAGGATATTTGGGTTTCTTAAACTGTAATCCATAATCAGCGATATTAAAACAATAAAAGGCTTGCGATATTTCAGTTGATTTGTAATGAATCCAGAATGTATGACATTTGATGTTTTTTAATTGCATCACGGAAAACAAAGAACTTTATCACAATATTCTCATTTTCTGAGACAGTCCTGTACAAAATTATGTACAAAATCTAGTCATAAGGAATTATTACATGATTACGCCACCAGTCACTAGTACAGCACAGACACCCAAAAATTGTTTGCAGATAATTAATTCCTTATCAAAAAATCTTTTTGGACCAATTAGGTGAAGTTTGATGATTTTCTACGGCACACCTGACCATCACTCGCGGCGCACTAGCGTACCGAGGTACAGTGGTTGAAAAACACTGATATAATCAACTCAATTACGAGCAGAAATGCGTCTTGGTGCGGGCGGGAAAAGGAGCAGAACCAGTCGGGCCTGCAGAGGAATGAGGCCTGGGCTGAACCCACTGTTCTGGTTGGGTCTGTCTGTCCACCAGACCTTAGTTTGCGTCAGAAATCAGAGTCTCAGAGACTAGAGGAGGCACTTCTCCAGTCGCCATGGAGCAGGGCAGATGCACGGTCCTTTTCCTGTCCCTGGCCCTGATCCTGGACGTGGCGGGGATTCTGCTCTTCCTGGTGGGGATCTTCGCGCCGCTGAGCTTCTGGGACTTCTTCGTGCTGTCGGGGCCCCTGCTGATCTTCCTCAGCCTGATCCCCTGGATCTTCTGGTACATGGGGAGCCTCACCGTGTCCGAGGAGGAGCTGGACCTGCTCAAACACGACATCCTGTAACCGACCGGGACCAGGAACGAATGGTGGATTTGACTAATCCCTTTTGACTTCAGGGAGAAACAGACTGAAGGGCAGTGATTCCCGGGCAAGAAGGGAGCGGGAAAAAGCTTTTTTCTTGCTCTTTCACTTGAAAGAAGCTTTAAAAAACACATTTACAGCTCACCACTCAGATGGAAACTTCAAACAATTAGCACCTCTAACACAGGATGTGTTCGTGCTTGTGCCAGAGGAGAGAAGGAAAAAACTAAACACTCCACGCCCGAATCTACCCGGCTTTAATCGGCACTCAAGGCCCCATTAGCTCCCTCGGACACGGGGAGGGTGGGTTATTAATGCCTCCATTTGGTTCCTGCCCCTGAGAGAGGAAATGGAGAAGGGGCGTAATGGGTCTGGGCTCTCCTCGGCTCCCGCGGGACGCGGTTTTAATCACAACTGGACCCCGAGGCTCAGGTTTCCATCCTGGTCTGCTAGCATGTTGCTGCTAACTGGCTGGAAAGAGCTTTGATAGCCGTTATGGTCGCCTCCCTTCTTGGACTTTTGGGGAAAATGTCTGTCTGGGACCGGGAAAGGCCCAGACACAACCTCACCTAACAAGAAGATCTCTGAGATGTCTTCAGGGATGCGGATAAACGATGGTTACTTTGGGATTTCATCAGAATTTGCGAGCGAACCGGAGTTGGTTTGTGTGGACCCTGAAACTGGTTCTGGTTGTGGGAAGATGATACTGTAAAGGCTTATCTTGCCTCCCTTTCTGGACTTTTGGTGGGAAAATGTCTGTCTGGGACCGGGAAAGGCCCAGACACAACCTCACCTAATGAGAAAATCTTTGAGATGTCTTCAGGGCTAAGGATAGACGATGGTTACTTTGGGATTTCGTCAGAATTTGCGAGCGAACCGGAGTTGAAAAAGCTCAGAGGGATGGTTTGTGTGGTCCCTGAAAGGCTTTTCTTCCCAGAACAGATCGGCCTGAAATGGCTGATGACTTCATGATGTCATTCGGAGGGTTTGGGGGCCGTGGAAAAGGTGGATGTCTCCCTCCAGTGGTTGGTGCACAGCTCAGCTCTGAGCTGAATTCAGGACTTTAATGGGTGATTGTTTTTCTTTGGAACTGTTTTCCGTTTATTTCCGTGAAGTATGTGTGTCACATCTTAAAGGTGTACGGGTTAAACTCTTAAAATGAAGGTTCCTCTGTCACTTTTTCCTCATGTGAATGATCTCTAAAGCCATTAAATTAAATTAAATCTGTGAAATCAACTCATAATTTGGTCATTTGTCTTCAATTCCATTGACTAACCTTTTCACTTTTTAATCAACCTTCTGTATTACACACTTACCATCATGAAGAAACTGAGGGGACTGATAATATTTGTCACAGGGTTTGAGGATCAAATTGTTCTACAAGTTTCAGTTTAAAACATTTGATCATTTGAACAATGTAAAATAAGTGAAAAAGTTTTAAATGCGTAGCATCAAGGTGAAAGAAACTGAAAAAATGTCTGCAAAAGTCGTAAGTCACCCATTTTTTACATGTATTTCCAGAAAGGTTTTTAAAAAAATCACATTCTAATGTCATTGGAAATAAATGGAATTAGTGATGAGTTGTGTTTCTGTTCAGCTCTCTGCTTATTTTGTCCTTTTCTTAAGGACGTCACTTTCAGATCTTCTTCATCTGCTGCAGTTTTTTAGGCCCAACTCTTCTTCTTTTGTCCTCAACTTGTCCAGTTTCCTCATGTTTTAAGGACTCCCTGTTCACCATCTGCCCAGTTTCCAGCCAGCAGCTCTTTGGAAACCATCAGAAATCCTGTTTCCTGTCATTGAAACTGGGTTATCTTTGGCATTTGTCACCCATCAGCTAAAGAAATGGGAACAAATGATATGTCTTTGTGACAGGCAGCTGCTAACAAGACCAAAAAAAGACTCGGGCTTGTTCCAGAAAAATGGTTTTAACTATAAGTGACATCAGGGAAGAATTTAGCTGGTTTAGTAACTCTGATAAGAATGAATTTTAAGAGACAGAGATTGAAGAAATGCTTTAAAAAAAGAATCATTTATTTAATTTACTGAGACCCTGGGCTGAACAAATTGACCCCAAATGAAGCAACCTGTCAAATACAGTCAGAGGAGACTGCATTGCTCTGCTTTAGCTGGAGATAATTAGCCTGTTTTGGAAGATGTTGTGTTTTTAATTGAGATTTGGAACTGCTGCTGCTGCTTGAATGGACAATTGAAACAATCTGTTCAAAGTTTTAATTCATTTGTTTATTTATTCATATTCTTTTGTCATCTTTATTGAACATCCTTGGAAGGGCTGAGCCCTGTGAGCCGTATTAAACCTTAAACCATCCCTGCTGCTCATCAATAACATGTTAAGGCCCGTCAGCGTCTTGTTTTCAAGGCTTTTTCAGACACATTTCAGCCCACAAAAGAACACAAACGCCCCCTGAAAGTCATCAATCCCAGATCATTATATCACATTACTGTTTGTATAGTTACTTAAGACACTTTTCATAACACCACTATAAAGAAACATATCAGTAAATTGCTATTTATTGGTTATAAATACAAATGTGGGGAAAGAATGGAGCTGATCACATTACATCCAGAATCAAACAGGTGGTTTATGGAAGTTGAGAGTTCTTTTGGTCACATTTATTCACCAGATAAGGGAAATGTGTGAAGGCAGAAGCTGTTTTAAGTCTAAAACGTTGCTATTTTGACTGAAAAAATCAACTTTAGGGGCCATGTGGAGCTCCAAGGCCCATTTATCTCCAGTTATATACATGTATGCTGTGATCTGATCATCTGGCTGTGGTGGTTTTCACTTCGGGGGAGCTAAACTACTTCTCAAAAATAAAAATGGATCCTGGCAGTGGACCTGCCTGTGGACCCTTTGTTATTTTTATTGGATATACTATATATTCTGTTAATGATTGGGAGAAAAAATATTACTGCTAACTGGATGAAGTATGAACCTCCCACGATCACTCAGTGGTTACAGAAAGTAAAACACGTTTACATGATGGAACATATGACCAATTACAGAAGAAATTACCTTTATATTGAGAAAGTTCACCCCAGTTACTGAATATCTTGCTTAGGACCCTTATACACTTTTACTATATCCATGTATTATTATTATTACTATCATTATTACTATTAAGGCTTTTTAACATCTAAAATATCCCTTTTTTCTGGAGTACAAATCTTGATAAGATATATGCTATACCCTTTACAGTGTGACAGATTAGACCCAATTTCTATCTAATTCTTTTATTTGTATTTATTTATCCTCTATGTGTGCCTGTCTCTTTCTGTTGTTCTTTATTGACATTATCACCACCACCTATTTAGACCTATATATATACATATAGTTATTTATGTATATAATTATATATATTCTATGTGGAATTTTGTACATATATATATATATAGACATTTATATATGTATATGCCAGTGGTGGGCCGTCAGGGCCTTCAAGGCCTTCTCTGAAGGCCTAAGAAAATATCTGAATCACAGACTGATGTTAATTATATTTTGTCCATGAAAACTTAAATTAAATATCTCGAAATAGTCTGTCAGCTTCCTTTCATATCTTTCCCCCTGGTTGTGCTGCTTCCAGACATGTATTTTCATATAAAAGCATTTAACCAATCACATTTCAGACATCCTTTGTCGCTAGGCAGGGTCAAAGTCAAAGATGTCTGCCTGGAGGCCTTCACAATCCGTTCTGCAGGCCCCCCCCCCACAGAAAATACATGTCGAGTACATTGTTGCTTCAACCAATCAGATGTTAGGTTGGTGATGCCAGGGCCTGCGCGAAGGCCCCGGAAATGGCACCGTACCCACAGCCGCTGATTGGATAGTCAGATATCCAATCAGGGCAAAGCTAGCAAACAAACCGAAATATAGTTGTGTTGGTGTAATAGCTATTTTATTATTTCGTGGCGGATTTACTGTCATACCATTTTCAAAACGGACTTTTCAAGAAAATTAAGTGAGTAAAATGTTTTTTTCCTAAATAATATTGCGAGTTTATGAGGATATTATTGATGTATTTTTATTTAGTATTTTTTTTTTGTGGGGGGGGGCGCAGCTGTAGCGGCGCAGCTGTAGCTGCAGGAGTAGAAGACTTGTGCCCCCCTGATCTTTATACTGTATTTTAGGCTTGTCCTGATCCGATATTTGGATCGTATCGGCCGGCATGAGAAAATGCCAGATACATTTATTTTTAAAAGTCCGATCCCACCCGAGCATTAGCATTAGCATCTGTAACCCACAGGTCTGTGTAAACTTTAGTTGTTATCAGAGTAAATCCCTGTTCAACATGAGTCTGTCAACTAAGTAAGTAGAAAAAAAAAATTCAATATAAAAATTCAAATACAAAAAGCTGGATCGGGACATCCCTACTGTATTTCTACATAATAAGATGATTTCTATAACCATAAAATAGTTATTGAGGGGTGAATTGATTCAGACGGAGCACTACTGAAGGCCTAGGTGTGAAATGCACGGTCCGCCACTGGTATATGCCTTGTTTTATTTATGGAGCTAGTGACAAAAATCATTTCCCTTAGGGATTATTAAAGTATGTCTGATTCTGACTAATATGCTAAGTGCCTGTTAATCCTCATTTAAGGCAATAAAGTTACAATAATAAATAAATAAGAATGAAAAAACCTGGCCTATAATGTCTAACTCATTCAAGACTGCTAATTAAAAAAAAAAGAGGCCTGCACGAGGAGGGGCTGACAGCATGCAGGCGCGTGCGTCAGGGCAACGAGGTTTGTTTGTATTGATCCCCTCGGAAAGACGCCTAACCTCGTAATTACGAAGCAGCGAGATGCTGCAAAGTTGAGCGGGGAGGAAAGCCCGGCGTGGACCACGTAGTGGAGGAGGAAGTTCCGCCTCACACCGGGGATATGGACCGGTAAATCCTGCAAACACCCCCATCCTGCAAACACCCTCCATTACGCACGGCCACTTCTCCATTAGGGGGGCTAGATAAACCACCGATATCGGTGCAATATCGCAGATTATTTGGTATTTTATAAGGTAGCGATGGCTGGGAGTGTTCGCACGTGTAGAGGAGTCGATCCCCTCCTTTCCTGTCTCCACACGCCGCCTCTTAACGAGCCCCAAACGAGCATATGCGCGTATCGCTACCCTCCAACCGACCTTGGATCTGTCCCCCCTGGATTAGCTCTCGCCTCTGATTGGCTGCCGTTCCAGAGCTCCGCCGGCGTCCCGGCTCCTGATTGGCCCGCGCGCCTGTCACTCAGAACGCTCCCACCCTCGCCCGTTTGGTTGGACCTCTCCGCTACCTTTTCTCTCTCCGGTGTGTCGGAGCCGCTGTCCGTGGCCTCGCATGTTTCCCGTTTTGAATTAGTAGTAGATTTTGTTTTTTTTAGTTTTACACACCTCCAAAAAGGGCCGCTACGTGCACGGTTGTTGTTGTTTTGTTTTTTTGTTTTTTTTTTTAGCCCCGCGGAACATGGCCGTGGTCGGCGGATCGTCCGGGCCGGTTGCCCGGTTGGAGGGCCGCGAATTCGAATACATGATGAAGAAACGCTCGGTGACCGTGGGCCGGAACTCGTCGCAGGGCTCCGTGGACGTGAGCATGGGCCACTCGAGCTTCATTTCGCGGCGGCACCTGGAGATATTCACCACCACCACCGGGGACGACGGGGTCGGGGAATTTTACCTGAGGTGTCTCGGGAAAAACGGGGTGTTTGTGGACGGGGTGTTCCTTCGACGGGGTGCCCCTCCTCTGCAGCTCCCACGAATGTAAGTTTACACCCAACTAACCCCCCATTTCCACCTTCATCCATCCACCCATTACACCCCCCACCACCCCCACTCCCCCTATCCTCACCCCCCTATCGGACAACATGTGGACGCTAGCTAACGGGGCTAAAGTTGACACAACATTGGCTAACCACGTGTTGTAGCATGTTAGCAACAACTCCAACATCCTGTTTCCCCATAACCCGGTTTTCTTTTGTTGACATATTTATCAGCCACGGTGTGAATCATCCTGCGTGGACCCCAGGTTTATACATCCCATCTAATCCGGTCCCTTACCCCATCAACACCCCCCCTTTTTCCGCCCACCCCCCCAGGTTCGGTTTAAGCTAACGTTAGCTAACGTTTGTTTTGTTTATTTTTCTTTGGCTCGCGGAGATGAAATCTGCTTTTTGAAGAGTCACTTAAACTTTCCACGGCTCGTGGGGCCCGTGGGGGACTCATAGGGTCGGTGGTGTGATCCGGAGCCTCCCTGTTTTTGTGAATGAAGCTGCCTCTGAAACGTAAACAAACCCGGCCGTCCCCGCCCTGTTGAGCCGCCGTGACCTTTGACCCCGAAGCTCTGTTTAAACCTCTTTAAAGTCACTTTGGACCCGTTGTTTGGGGTTTGAATGTGGCATGAACAGGGTGAGTCGGTAAACTTTCCCTTTTCACTGCTGCATTTTCCTCCTTAGAGGCTGTTTTCACGTAAACATTTTCTGTTTTGGTTGGCTGGTGAGTGGAGAGTGAAGGTAAAACTGAGACCTTCATGCTTTTTGGAAGCAACACTGTCATTTTCTACAAAAACAAGCCATTTCCAGGCAGTTTAATCACTGTAAACTGAACTTATATGGATTCACCGTGTACATTTGGGGTATTTTTTCAGTCTTTGTTTTTCTAGGTAAGACTTAGACCTTCATGCTATTTGAAAGCCCCACTGTCATTTTCTACAAAAACAAGCCATTTCCAAGCAGTTTAATCACTGTAAACTCAACTTATATGGATTCATGTACATTTGGGGTATTTTTTACAGTCTTTGTTTCTCTAACATCTCAAGATAGTCAGTTTAACAAATGAAGGAGTTTAGTCTTTCTCCTGTGGCTGGCTTAAAGTGAAAAGTTTGTTTTGAAACAGGGAATGTGGTTTCTGGGTTGGAATGCACCGTGTTGGATCAGCGCATGCCTGTGAATGAAGAGCAAATCAAATCTCCCGAGTAATGACGTTAACCGGCTCTTTTTGGGGACGTGCGCTTCATGAAATGTTTTTTTTTGTTTTTTCTAACAGCAGCTCAACAACTGAAGGCTAAATAACGGGTGCAAATGTAAAAGCACCTGAAGCTTTTGTCTAAACGTGCTTAAAACTACTAAACTCCCCCGTTTAATTTAGGGGGAAAACACAAAGTCTAAAGCAGGTTTCTTTAGGCTTGTCCTGGTCCGATATCTGGATTTCTTTGGTCACTTTATATGGTCCCTTCTAGAAATGTAAATATATTTCTTAATCATCTCTTTAATGTCATTTTGAAAATAAAGACAATTAAAGCAACCTGTGGCGTCCTGTGTGGGACAAATAAAGATGTAAACACCACACATTAGGCTTGTCCCGATCCAATATTTGCAAAAAACTGCAGGAGAAAACACAGATTGAGACTCCCAATACAGTTTTATTTTAAAGTCCGATCCCAGGCTAGCATTAGCATCTCCTGACCCACAGGTCTGTGTCCTAACCATTAAGTTGTTATCAGAGTAAATCCCTGTTCAACATGAGTCTGACAACTAAGTAAGCAGATAAATAACTTTAAACTTTAATACATGCTCAGATAGGCCGGGATTGGGATAAAAAAGCTGCATCTCGACATCCTGAGGTTTCTTTGCACATTGTGTCTTTTTAGTCACTAATTGTCCTTTTAAAGTGGCCACAAGCACACCCGGACACGCCTTTTAAAGTCACTGCAAACGTCTTTTTAACATCTAATCGGAGTAAAACAGCTCAAACCCAGGAGTTTGGTCCAGCTCCACCCTCCACCCGTTTACATTTTGCTGGCCGGGCGCCGTCCCGTAAAGATTGCCGCCGGCCGCCGCCAGACTTTGCACGCCGCTCTGAACTGTTGCGCCATCCCCCCGATACGAGCCCACTTCTTCCCACAGCCGGCCGACGTGTTTGGGCTTGACGCCGTCCCCAAACCGGCCTCGTGCACGCACACGTGCACACACACACACACACACACACACACACAGATCTCTGCAGCCCCCCCGTCGTCCCGTTTTAGCTGTTCAAACTGGGCCTGTCCCCGATCCGATATCTGGATTCCTCTGGTCACTTTATATTGTTTTTATGGTCCTTTCTAGACATTTAAATATATTTGTTAATGATCTATTTGATGTATTTTTGACCTAAAAACAATTAAAGCATCCTGTGGCGTTCTTAGTGGGACAAATAAAGATGTAAACACCACACATTAAGCTTGTCCCAATCCAATATTTTGATTTCTTTGGTCACTTTATATTGTTTCTATGGTCCCTTCTAGAAATTAGAAATATTTCTAAATAATCTCTTTTGTGTCTTTTTTAACATAAAGACAATTAAAGAGTCCTGTGGCGTTCTGCGTGGGACAAATAAAGATGTTAACGCCACACATTAGACTGGTCCCGATCCAATATTTGGATTTCTTTGGTCACTTTATATTGTTTCTATGGTCCCTTCTAGACATTTAAA